GGAGGCGACACACATCAGATGGCCATGAATCTCACTGACTGCAGCGACCTAAATCCTCCGTTACAACATGCGCCTAGAGTTGCGTGTTGCAATTCGTAAAACCTTAACCATCTTCCCAGCCTGGGCCCGAGACAGCCTCCAAGGCCTTCAAACCAAACAAGACTCCAGTGACTTTAAAAGAGGAATGTAAATTATGCAAGAAATTATCTCCCTATGGACGGGTTCCACATCTCCCCAGGGGATTCTTGTTCTCTTTTATAACGTGAAAATAACATCTCCGTTGTTTTTCAAGAGCAGGACACATTTTGTTGCCATCAGCAGAGGGAAAGGTTCCGTTGCCTCCTCCAAGGGCAGAGGACAATGGAAGCCACGGATGTCCAGAAACCACTTTGGGGCAGGGATTCATTTCCTGGACCTGCACCCGGCCCATGCAGCAGTCAGGAGGGGCACGGAGGCAGCCCGCCTCACCCCAGGAGGAGGCCTGTCTCCCTCCGTGAGCAGCAGGGCTCCAGAAGGCAGACTGGCACCCTTGGGCAGCTCCTCCTTTTGTGCCCATTGCGCCCATCCCTGGACGGATTGCTCCAATCCCTGCTCAGGAGCCCCGGCGCCCTCGGCACTTGAACTGTTGCAATGCACGCTACGTGGGGCTGCCCTCGAAGGCCACCGGGAAACTATCAATTGGTCCAGAAGGGGGTGGCACAGGCGGCGTTCTTCGTTATGCCCGCAGAAGAGGCATGTCCTCTGCTTTGGCCTCCCCTGAGGCTCCTGGGGGTGATTCAAGCTGCTGGTTATGACCTCAAAGCCCTCAGAGCTGGGATCCTCGCAGGTGGGCCTGCTCTGACCTGCCCCTCCCATCCCTTCTCAGAGGGAGGGCACAGCCCAGGTTGGTTTGTTGGAACAAGGCCATCCTACGGGACCCAGACCCAGATGTCTTCTCTGTGGCAGCCCCCCACCCCACCCCTTAGGAAGGAGGAGGTTCCCTGGGACATGTGTTTGGCCCCAAAGGTGGAAGCCTGGAAGGGGGTGGCACTTCAATAATGTATTTTATTTTTTATTTTATTGATTTCAGTATTTTATTTTATTGATTTGTGTGTTTTAATGTGCTATCCTACTTTAATTATTTCTGGGTTTTTATATGCCACACAATCACAGAATCTGAGTTGAGTGATTATAATTCATATAATCATAATGAGTGAATCCATCAGTTTTGCCGATAAGGAGATGACAACTCTTAACCTGTGATGGTTTTTTATGTTATGTTTCCTGCCTTTGCTGAAAAATCTATGAAATAACAGTATTATAGTGTTCATTATTTATTTAAAATTAAAAATACAGAATTTATACCTCTTAGGAATTAAGTTTTCACTTGAATGATAAAACCACTGTAAAAATAGGAAGGAAATTAATGAACCTGGCTACGTCAGACTATCAATAGAACCCTAAGCACTGTGGTATTTCAACTATGCAGGCTAAGGATTACGACAGTGAAGTTTCAATTTGGAGAGAAAGAATGCTTATGTTTTTTGTAAAAATCCCAGCAAAATCCAGATGAACAGTAATGTCGGTGGCTGAACTTCCTCCCGGTGCAATGGAAAGACCCAGCAAAAGACGGATGGGGCCACAC